GATGATGGCAATAAAATAATACTGTATTGGTTACACAAAAGCTGGAATGGTTGTAAAATTTTCTTAAAGTTTTAAGGATGTTTGGTGTTTTGATGGGCAAAGGGTTTGTAAGATAAAATGTCCTCAAAACTAATTTGATTTGTTCTACAGTTTGCTGACAATGGTATTCTTTGGTGCCCAACAAAAATATTTAGATGGTAAGATGGGCATGATATAATTTTAAGGTTAAAATTATATTTGGAAGTAGAAATGTAAAGTGAGATCTCTTAATTCTACCAAAGGATCTAGATGGTTTCTGACTACAGAATTCGATATAGCTTTAGGAGTCAGTTTTTTAAAGCTTAGAAGTTAACTCCAGGAACTACAATGAAAAGAGCTTGGTAAATATTTACTGAATGGAAGGCTATTTATTCCTGAAAAAGCTGAATGTGAATCAGGTTTTTGTAAATGGAACCATGCTTTTACATGTATTTTTACTTATTTTGTAAGACAGATAATCTTTCCCAAGTTTATATTTGTGGTAAATCCGGATTTTCATGGGTCAGACATGCTTGGACGAAAGTCATCTTGTGTTGCCTAAGATCTGGTTTATTCTTTTCGAGGTTGCTAAGAAATTTTTTTTAAAGGGAAACAGTTATTCACAAGTTTATAAACAATTCAGTAAAAATAGATTTCTAAGGATCTTCAATTTGTAATTCATAAATCATTCATGCTGAAATGCTTGGCCTTGTCTCCTATTCTCCTTGAGAATGTGGGATGTTTTATAAACACATGAAGAGTTACAAATATACAGTGCAAGAAAGAAAGAACTGCATTGTTAGTAATGGGATGATATAAATTTGTGTACACATGAGATTTCAATCAAAGCAATTTAATACAAATAAAGACTGAGGTCTATATTAAGAAAGGGCTCTGGATGACAGAGTATTTTGTTGCAATGTTGTTTGGGTTCTACTGCTCCTTAAAGGCCATTTTGGTCCTTTTACATTGTTTCTCTGCTTAGTTCTGGCTATCTTAACGTTTTAGGACAAGTAAGAACTCCCAGTAAACGGTTTGCACACTTTTAATCCCAGCAACTCCTGAGGCCAACCTGGTCAACTTGGTGAGATCCTGTCTCAAATAAAAAATAAAAGGACTGGAGATGTAGCTCCGTGATAAAATGACCCTGAATTCAACTTCCAGTTCCAGGAAAGAGAGAAGAAAAAAAAAAAAAAAAAAAAACTCCTGATAAATGGGTTGTTCCTGTGTGTATAAGATGGTCACTACTTACTGTCTATCCAGAAACCCAGGACTTATCTTGGGAGTGAAAGAAGTATAGAGCCACATTTTAGAGCAAAGAGAACATTATTTTCTGAATGGATAAGGGAAATTCAGTTTTCTATAGTCTTAGCAAGAGCTGGACCAAGATATTTGGGCACTCCAGAGACTAATCAGATGGTACTGCTTTGAAACACGTTGAGAAAGAGGTAGATAGAAACATGATTTGTTAAAAAGCTTATTAATATGCCACCTTTTTTTTATCCATTCATCTATTCTATTGAAGGATATCTAAAAAATGTGGCATATAATTTTACTCAGCATTAAAAAACAACAAAATCATGGCATTGGCAGGTAAATGGATGGCGTTGGAGAAGATAATGCTAAGTGAAGTTAACCAATCCCCCCAAAACAAATGCTGAATGTTTTCTCTGATATAACGAGGTTGACTCATAGTGGCGTAGGGAGGGAGAGCATGGAGGATTAGATGAATTCTAGATAGAGAAGAGGGATGGGAGGAAAAAGAAGGGGGCAGGGGATTAGCAAGGATGGTGGAATGTGACAGACATCATTATCCAAAGTACATGTATGAAGACTTGAATTGGATGTCAACATACTTTATATACAGAGGTATGAAAAATTGTGGTATATGTGTGTATTAAGAATTGTAATGCGAAATAAGTACATGCATAAAAGCATAAATTGTTGTGAACATACTTTATATAAAGAGACACGATGTGTAATAAGAATTGTAATGCATTCCACTGCTGTCATGTATTTTTTTAAAAAAATAAAATCAATAAAAGATAAAAGAAAAAGCTTATTAAGAAGAAATTCCTCTATGAGTTTTCTTCTGAAGCAGAATCAGTGCTTGGCAAAACAATAGTCAAAATATTTCCCACTTTTCTGCAGACCTCTCCTCAGTTTTCCATTGTGATTTTTCTGGTAGAGGCATTTTCCGGCTGATATAGAATGCAAAGTGAAATGTTTTCTACGCTTCTTCTCCCCTGGCCCCTGTGACTTTTGCAGGGTCAATAATGTGACCAGTTTTTTGTCCATCCTTGGAGGGACGTGAAAGTACTTATCTTTAGTCCCTTGTTCTAAGCCATTATATTAAAAGGATTCAGAAGACAAGTTACTCACTGCTTTCTCTAAGGAATGTGAACACCTAGGTTACCATTTCAGAACTTCTGGCTTCCTCACTTGCCAGTGCCGAGTGATCAGCTCATCACAAAAAATACTCAGGAGTGTTATTTTTTTCCCCACTTGAGGGCACCACCTACATTTGTAGGAATGTGACCAGTTTGTATCTTGAGAGTTGATCGCAGTGATATTTTTTTTATATGTATTTTCTTTTTGATTTTTTTTTAAAAAATAAATGACAGCAGAATACATTACAATTCATATTACACATATAGAGCACAATTTTTCATATCTCTGGTTGCACACAAACTATATTCACACCAATTCGGGTCTTCATACATGTACTTTGGATAATGATGTCCATCACATTCCATCATCATTGCTAACCCCCTGCCCCCTCCCTTCTCCTCCCACCCCTCTACCCTATCTAGAGTTTGTCTATTCCTCCCATGCTCCCCGCTCCCTACCCCACTATGAGTCAGTCAGTCAGAGAAAATATTCGGCATTTTTTGGAGGGGATTGGCTAACTTCACTTAGCATTAACTTCTCCAATTCCATCCATTTACCTGATCGCAGAGATATTTTTCCAACTCATTTTCCCCCACATATTTGCATCTTCATCCAGCTCTAGCTGGATGTCCCCTTTTGTCATGAAGGGGAAGTGAGTCTGATCATAGTGGACTCTGGGACTGGACTGGGCAGCCTAAAAGGTCAGGGCTCATGTTTTCGAGGGCAGAAGTACTTTTTCTGAAGGTCCTTGGCAGAGGGTGACCTTCACAATGGCTTTGTTGTCAGCAGTGCTGGCTGCTGGCCCCCGTGGGAACAAGCCTTTTGCTTCCCATCCAGAACACACTCCCACTCCCAGTCTCACTCAAATCAGCCTCCGCCCTGAGACTCTTGCAGAGGAAACGTCTTGCTGTGACCTGATGGACCCCCGCCTGCATCTGCTCCTGTTCTCCTTTCTTCCCTTCTGTTGTCCTCCTCCCTCTTGTGCAACATGAATCTCTCCTTCTCACTGATTAATTCCTCTCAATCTGTAAGATGCCTCTAGAAGCCCTGTCTCCTCCACTCCCTTCCCATCCATCCCTCCACAAGCAGCCAGTGCAATCATTTAGAAATTCAGTCAGATCATTTAATTCCTTTGCTTGCAAAACCTATTCAAAGGCTTCCTTCCTTTGCACTTACAGGAAAACCTGTTTTCTGTATGATGCCTTCCAGGCCCAGCCTGGGCTGCCTCCAGCCACTGCCTGCTGACTCCTCCTGGAACTCAGGCTTCATTTCCTTTATTTACCCTGATGCACACCGTCCTCCTCACCCCTATGCTGTGCTCTTCCCTCTTTCTTCGGCAGTTCTCCTGGAGTGGCTGTCCTTTGTCATCCTCTTGGCTGAGTTGTTTCCTCCTCAGTGCAATCTTCGGCCGTAGGTCCACATGAGTTCCTTGCCCCTCCATCCATCCTAACACCATGTTAGTCTCCTGCATAGTACTTCATGGTTTGTCAATCCTTCCTTGTCAAATATCCATGCAAATTTCTAAGCTCTGGAAAGGCAAGGGCCGTGTCTGCTTTGCATTTAGTAGGTATTCAGAGTAGGCAGAAATGTTGAGAGAAATGAATGAACCAATGGTGATTGACAGACACAGCTTAACTCTGGTTCATCCTTTCCTTTGGGACATGGAGCCAGCCCTGCTGTTCTTCCACTTTCCCCCTTAGAATTGCCATGTTCCGGAGAATGAGAGGGGCTTCCGGCCATCCAGGATCCTTCCAACATTGTCTTCCCTTTCAGTCCAGCTCAGGCCCAGCCCTGGGTGCTGGGCTCTTTCACTCTCAACCCATACCTATTGAGGAGACACCCCATGCTGCTTTTGTCCCATCTTTTTTAGGAGGAAGGTGGTGTTACAGGGGAGAGGATGTGCGTTTGAGCCAGGCTGCCCAGGTCTGAATTTCAGCACTACCACTTACTTCAGGTGTGCCTTGACCTACAATGGGGTCATGTCCTGATAAACCCATTGTGAGTTGATAATATCGTAAGGAAAAAAATGTAAAAACACAAGATACAGTATCCCCAAAGTGCTGGCAGCATAGCATGTGGAGACTGCCAGTCCTCTCCCGTTGTGATGGCGAGGCTGCCTGGGAGCTATGGATTCTGCTGGTGCCCAGCCTCTTGGCCTCTTGAGGTAGGCATGGATGGTGTATTGCTAGCCTGGGAGAAGATCAATATTCAAGCTTTGAAGTACAATTTCTATTGAATGCGTGTCATTTTCACACAGTTACATAGTCCAAAAAAATCATAAGTCAAACTATGGTGAGTTGGGCCCCTCTATAGTTGTATGATCTTGGGCAAGTTACTAGATCTCTGTGTGCCTTTGTTTCCTCATACGCCAGGACAGAGATTAAATATGTAAGTGTACATAAAGCATTTACCATGAGAATACTCAGTGGCTTTAAGCCTTTCTTTTCTTTTTGTTTTCTTTTTTTTGTGGTACAGGGAATTAAACCCAGAGGTGCTTAACTACTGAGTTTGTAGTTCTTTTTATTTTTTATTTTGAGGCAAGTAGGCTTTTTGAGGCTCTCTCCTGGCACCAGTTAGTGAGATTAATCAGCTCCTCTCTTTTGTTCCTTAGTTCGTTCACTTTCTCTCACTTTCTCCTTTTCTTCTAATTAGGTTTTAAAAATCTTTGGGGGTAGGTCACACAGGCTATTTGGAGATTTTGAAGAAAAGTACCTGGACTGTCTCCCCAGAAAAATCTATATTTACACTATCACCCAGTGTTATGGTTTGGATGTGAGGTGTCCTCCAAAGCTCACATGTGAGACAATGCAAGAAGTTTCAGAGGAGAAATGATAGGGTTGTGAGTATCTCAACCCAATCAGTATCATGTGATACCATTCCTGCGTCTCAACCCAACTAATCCCTGATGGGATTAACTGAGTGGTAACTGGAGGCAGGTGGGGTGTGGCTGGAGGAAGTGATTTATTGGAGGCATGGCTATGGGGTATATATGTTGTACTTGGAGAGTGGACTCTCTCTCTCTCTCTCTGCTTCCTGATCACCATGTGAGCTGCCTTCCTTTGCCAAACTCTTCCATCATGATGTTCAGCCTCACCTCGAGCCCTGAGGAATGGAGCCTGCTCTTTGTGGATTGAGACTTCTGAAACTGTGAGCTCCTAAATAATGCTTTCCTCCTCTACAGTTGTTCTGGTTGGGTCTCTTAGTCACAGTGATGAAAAATCTGACTAAAAAACACAGAATAAGCAGATAATTCAGAGATCCAGAGGTGCCCTGAGTCCTTATTATAGTAATGCATCTCTGTCTTCTTCTTTGTTGCTGTGGACTGAAGGTCTTCCAGCCTGCAATGAGATGCTCATTGGTACACCCGAGAACTGGGACTGTCCTTTCACAGATTTGTAGGAAACCTTCAAATACAGGTGGGAATTTTCTTGTCCAGAATATGACATTGTGATACCATTCTTGTGTTTATCCAATTGCATGAAATTAAATTGGTATGCACACAAGGTAGTTTACATTTTACAGTACAACCTTATGGTTGTTACTCATTTGGAAACACATGGGGATGCCAGGCTAGACTAAGTGAGGACAAAGTTGACTTAATCAGACATTTAATTCTGTATGTGTGTGTTTTAAACCAAGTTTCTTTAAAAATGTGTACAGTAATGAGACATGCTATATACATGCCAATGCTGATAATAGCAGCCACCTGTTTTCTAGGTTGGTGTTCTTTTGGATATGTTTTTAACATTTTTAAATGCACATCTTATTGCTTAAAATTACTAATGTACAAAAAGTGCTACAGAAGCCATCAAGAAAACAGTCTATTTCCCGAATGGGGTTAAATATTCCTTTGGAAAATGTGTTCAGATTCTAAGTTTGTTTAGTAAACTTTTCTAGAGGGGAGGCCAAGGTATTCTTAATGTTGGCCATGGATTTTTTTGAGGGAGGATTAGAGAGGCAAAAGTGATAAAATTGAAAAAATTAAAAGACAAAGATGTTCTGACGTGGTGGTAGTCTCTTCTTCAGGTCCTTGTAGAGCAGAATGTCACCTGATCCCCAGGCTGACAGCAGTGCGTGGTCTGGCAGATGATGGACACTTCCCTTGGCCAAATTGACCACAAAGCAGTGCCCATGAAAGAATCTCAAAAGTTCCATGTGCTCATTGCTTAGCCCTGCTCCAGAGAAGCCTATCAACATATTCACCTTAAATAGTTTTTTAGAAATTTTTTCCCCACAGGATTAAAAATCCTTAATTGACTCTTTCAAGGAGCCCCAATGAGTGAAAAATAATCTTTAGTATGCGAAGGGAAGTTGGGATTTAAACTGACAACTTATTACCAAAATCACCCATGTCTCCCAAACTTTAATGTAGCTGGTAAATTGTTTTGTGTTTTTTTTTCATGGAATCACGTACAGTTAAGTCGTAGTGTGTGCATGTGGCCAATTCTGCTTTTATTTTAAGTGGGCCTGTTTATTTTTTAAAAAATGAGAAGTTGTTTTGCTCACTCAGTTGGAGTTTATTGTAAAACTTGGATGCCAGGAAAAGAAAGAAGTACAGTTTTTGTGCTGCAATTATGTGAAGCAAGCCACAAGTGAATCAGAGCAAGCACAGCCATGGTACTTTTTTCTTTCTGCCCAAAGACAGCAAGCTCCAATGGTCAGCAGAAGGCATTTGAGAGATCTGGGGTTATGAGTGCCAGATGACGCACCAACTAATAGCATCAAACACAGTGACACCAAGCATATGTTTTTGCTCTTATCCCTTTGCAGTCACAAAAGTAATTCCAGGGCTGGGGATGTAGTTCTGTTGGTAGAATGCTTGCCTCACACACACTAGGCCGTGGGTTCAATCCCCAGCACCATACACACACATAAAAAGTAATTCCAGAAAGAAACAACTGGAATACAAAGTAGAAACTGTGTTGTGCTGCTTGATGGATGACATTTGTTATTCAAAGGGTCAATTTTATGCTTGTGGAAAACAAGTTGCTGTTTTGCCCTGCTCTGTGCCGGAGCATCATGCATGAAAATCTCACACCAGCGGTAGTGGTGCAACATCAGCAGTTGAATGAGTCATATGCTCCCATGTGGCACATCCAGCCAATAGGCATGTAGTCATGGAACCACTGTCACCCATGCAGACGCTGAAGCAAAGGCTGAGCCCATCCAGATCCACAAATGAGAAAATAAGGAGCTGCAGAGAGACCACGTGACTTGTCTAAAACCACACAGCTTGTCTGTGGCAGGGTTGCACCATTCTCTTGTGAGACTAGAACTGCACAAGGAAATCTTAGACTATTTCCCTGGTCTACCAAGTCAGTTTTATTAACTGTGATTTTAATCATTTGAAGTGCAGTTCATTTATCCTATTAGGAATCCTTCTAGAGCCTTCCAGGTTGAGTAAGAATTGTTCATACACCACCATCTCCTCCTGTCTTTCATAGCTCTTGCTATCTTATGTCGGAATCAACTGGCTATGTTTCTATATAAATACCTCCTGTGCATTTATCTTTATAAGGTGCCTTGTTTGTTTGTTTTGTTCTTCTTTGTACTTTATTAAAACAGTGTAACTGTAAGAGCAGAATTAATTGACCCTCTCATTTTTACAACAGTAGTTTTTTTTTTTTTTTTTTTTGGCTCCTGTGGAAGTGCTCTATTTTAGTTTATGTGAGCCTGGGCAGTGGTGTCTTCAGGAGGCCATGGTAGGCTAGCATCTGCAGTCTATGGGCATTCAACTCTATGGGCAAAGCTATTGGGAGCCAGGTTGACAGTACTGAGCAGATGGGGACAGTTGGAGACCTCACTGTTGATGCTAATGTTATGGCTAGTTGGGGATAAACAAGAGGCCCTTTGTTCTTTTAATGGCTAAAATATAGGAATGAGAATGAATTTATCTTTATGAAGCTTAAACATCTCTGCCTGGATAAACAGAAGTTATTTACATAGACAAAAATCTTTGTGAGAGTCCAAATTTTATTTATTTTATAGAAACTATTAGCACAAACAAGAACCTTAGTGTTTGTGGGTTTCTAAGTTTGATTCACTTTAATACTTATTTCTTCTATAAAAAATACACAAAACATACAAACAAGTATAGAGAATCATCTTTTCAACTTCGGTGTACCCAAAGTTTAACTTTTTGCTGTTTTCTATTCTGTTACCAGGAAGTCATTGTTATGAATTTGGTGTTTATCATTCTGAGATTCTAAATTTAACTCTTGGGTCTCCCTTAATGCAAAGGCCTCTGTTTAATTGGACAGGAGCTGTCTTGCAACTATAAAATCTTGGTTTTGGAGCCACTGTGAGACTACTTTAATTATTTTAAAGGGGCAGTGACCTCAGACAGCAGAGAGCCTAAATTCAGGAGAATTAAGAGCTATATTAGCTTAGAGCTTTTTAGATCATAGATTCAGTATTAACTGGGAATTCACCAAGGAATTCAGTGGCCCCCTGCATGTCACTAATCAAGGTAAACCTCAGAGAGTTTGAGGAAATATATGGTTGAGGAGTAATGCTTTTTAAGTAGTTTTGATTGCAAGGTGCAATAAGAAAAGTAAATAAATTTTGCATTTTGGACTCATACTCCACATACACCACAAACACCACACGTACACAGAGCATATGCCTCTGAATGAAAAGTTGGAATGAGCTTATACACACGTACTTTATTACACTTACTCTTTCTTTGTTAGCTGTCCTGCAACATAGTCTGTTTTGTTTTGTTGGTTTTCCAAAAGCTATTTTGTTCCGATGATAAATTGATTTCACAGGCCATTAGATAGAGAGGAACTCATAGTTTAAAAAAACAAAAAGCAAACTCAGCCCACTTTAGCAAACTGTCATTTGCTCTATACAGCAGAAGTTTTTAAGAAGGTGTATTTAGTTGAACTCTAGTGAACATTTTTATAAAAGGCTTTTTTCTCTACCACTGACCTAAACATAAAGATTGATGCTGCAACTTACGAACAACAAATCCGATGTAATGCTAAGCAGCATCTAAAGCTCTGTAAGGGTTCGGGTTCCTCTGTGTCATGCCACATCTCCTGAAAGCCCCTCAACCCTACAACCACTGCTGTGAAGCGACCTGTCTAGATAAACATAACTTGAGCACTGTACTTTATAAATTCACAAATTGTTGAGCCACAAAATCAACCTTCCGAAATAAAACTGGGTCTAAGTCAAACTGCTAACTGAAAAATAACAACTTTTGAGTCCTTAACTCTCCTTTCATCACAGCTGACTTTTATATAATCCTAAATAAGGTCCACATGAGGAATCCAGTGATGTAAGCATTGCATCCTACTCATTAAATCTCATTGATTTTCTCCCATCGAGAAATTTCCTCTGTCTCTACATCCAGCCTCAATTTTTTTTCTTTTCTCCCCCCACCCCAATGCTGGGAGTTGAACCCAGGGCCTTGTGCATACTACAAAAGTGCTCTACCAATAAGCAACATCCCCACTGTAGTCCCAGAAACTTGGAAGGGAGACAGGAGGTCTACAAGTTCAAGCCAGCCTCAGAAGCTTAGAGAGACCCTGTCTTGAAATTAAAAAAAAAAAAAGAAGAAGAAGAAGAAGAACTAGAGATATGGCTGAATGATAGAGAACCCTTGTGTTCAATACCTACTTTTTTGTTGTTGTCGTTGTTTTTTAAAGGCACACTATAGTACTGGCAAGGGTTCAGCTTTTCTCTCCTTGGAAGCAAAGGAGAAAATTATATTTAATGCATATTAAACAAGCAATTGTTGGAGATTGTGAGCTACACTGATTCCCAGAGATTAAAATGAGTCAGTTTTCTTCAAACTGTGTCCAGAAGCAGCCACTCTGAACATTAATGAGGTGGCTGGTTTTAAAATCTGGAAGAAAGAGGAGGTTTTGTTTAAGCCAGTGCTTTCACAGAGGAGGAAATGCAGTTCTGCCCCAGGAAACTTCAATGGGTCTGTTGAATACTCAGGAAGTAGTGCCACCTTCAGATGAAAGGGTAAAGAATCCAGATGATCTTCAGCAGAGTATCAAATGCAAGGACAGCACTTGTTGGTGTTCACATCTATGTATGTGACTGTGTGGGACTTGGAGAAAAGCACTTTTCAACCCGTTTTGTTCTTATGACCTCTGTTCACTGTAGAAATTATGGAGAACTCCAATAACCCGTATGTGGGTTTGTCTGTCAGTGTTTTCCATTTTAGGAATTAAAACTGAGACATTTTTAGAACTACTTATTGATTCATTAAACATAATAAACCTGGGCTGGGGTTGTGGCTCAGCGGTAGAGCACATATAAGGCTCTGGGTTTGATCCTCAGCACCACATAAAAATAAATAAATAAAATAAAGGTATTGTGTCCAACTACGACTAGGAAATAAATGTTAAAAAAAATAAATCCATTACATATGAACACAAGCACATTATTCTACTAGAAATTATGTTTTCAAAAGGACTTTAGTGAGAAGAGTGCCATTGTTTTCTCTTTGCAGATCTCTTTAATGCCAGGTGGAGACCCAGATTCTCATATCCCCTTCCGCACACAACCTATTGTGATCTATTGTTTTGATTGAAGAGCAGGAAGTGGATTTAGCTCACATAGATATGTAATTTGGAACTCACAGCCCCCTGAAAGAGTCTCAGGGACTCCCAAGGGGATCCCTGGGACATAGTTTGAGAGCTGCCATCCTATCAGGTAGTTTGGAAGAAGATAGGTTCAAGAGTGGCTGTTCCCAGTGGGGAGACTACAGTGATCCTAATTATGTTTTTCCCTTTTCATTTGTATATATATGTCGTACAATGGGGAGAGGTAGATTACCTGTGCAACCTATAAATGAAGAAAGAAGGACTATATTGCTGGAAGAGCACAGGAGCTTAGAAACCCAGGTGGAGAAGTTTACACTTGGGAAATCAATGAACCGCATCATTTCTTTTTTTTTTTTTTTTTTTTTTTTTATATTTATTTATTTTTTTAGTTTTCAGTGGACACAACATCTTTGTTTGTATGTGGTGCTGAGGATCGAACCCGGGCCGCACGCATGCCAGGCCAGCGCGCTACCGCTTGAGCCACATCCCCAGCCCCGCATCATTTCTTAAATAGGAAAATGACTTGGTCCAAATTAGGTTTGGGAATAAATGGAGGAGGAGGGCAGAAGGGAAGTCAGAAGTTGCCACCATGATCTGAGGGAGTCCTTTTTACCACAAGGTCCAGACCCCAAGTGTTGTGGAAATGGAGAGAAAAGACAGACTCTGAGAGAAGTTTTTAAGGCCAGTGACCAAGACTTGGATGAAGGGATATAAGGGAGGGCAGTGTCCAAAAGATGATTGAATTTTCAAGTTAAAACATTTGAACAGTGTTTCCTTTTCTGAAAATCACCCTGATGAAGCTCACGCAAGTCTCACTTTGTTTTTCAGGGTTGGCCAACCCATGCACAGGCTTAGGAAGAAGTCAGCACAATTCCCAACTGGAATCAGTCACAATTGCTTCCAGAAGAAAAGGCAAATTTGTACCTATGCCCTCCCTGGAGAGTTCCTGGCTGCTGACCAGCCGTGAAGGGCCGTGAGTCCGGTTTCTGTGTGGGGGGACGTCTGTGGCCCACCTCCTATGCACTCCAGCACCCCCATCAGCTCCCTCTTCTCCTTCACCAGCCCCGCAGTGAAGAGACTGCTTGGCTGGAAGCAAGGAGATGAAGAGGAGAAGTGGGCAGAGAAGGCCGTAGACTCTCTAGTGAAGAAACTAAAGAAGAAGAAAGGAGCCATGGATGAGCTGGAGAGGGCCCTCAGCTGTCCTGGGCAACCCAGCAAATGTGTCACCATCCCCAGGTCCCTGGATGGGCGCCTGCAGGTGTCCCACCGCAAGGGTTTGCCGCATGTTATTTACTGCCGGGTGTGGCGATGGCCAGATCTCCAGTCCCACCATGAGTTGAAGCCATTGGAGTGCTGTGAGTTCCCTTTTGGCTCCAAACAGAAAGAGGTGTGCATTAACCCTTACCACTACCGCCGGGTGGAGACTCCAGGTGGGTTTTGTTCATGATGTCCCAGTTTATTTCAAAGTGAAAGTTAAAGTTCCACTGGTGGAGAATGGTGGGGTACCCACAAGACCAGGACTTTTACCTATAGAGAGAAGAGAGGGAGGTTTGAAACTTTAGGAATGAATCCAAAATTTTGTAGTCAGGAAAACTTAGAAAAAATATATATTTTAATTTCAAAGTGTATGGAAGCTTTATATGATTTTTAAAAATGCAGTTTATTTTGATGAACTTTGGAGAAATCATCATGACCTTTTCCTAGTTCTTAAGGCCTTGGAAGGGCTTAAAGTATCCTGGAAAATGATTACCCCTTGACACGCAGGCGCGTGCGCGCGCGCGCGCACACACACACACACACACACACACACACTGAACTGAATGAACTGAATTGATCTTTGATTTGTGTTGAGCTGAACCAAAGTTTGTTTGTTTGTGCTTCCACTTTGTTCAAGTTTAGATAAAGGGAAGTTAGCTCATCTCTGGATCTGAAAACAGCTACAGAAAGAGTTGCTGAAAATTATTTCAGGACTAAAAACACCAGGGGCCAGGGTTGGGGGAGATCAGTGGTTGTTTTTAAAGACATTTTTTATAGTGCTGGGGTTTCAACCTAGTACCTCTCACAGGCTAGGCAAGTGCTCTGCCACTGGGCTATACCCTCAGCCCTTAAATATGGTTCTGACTAAAGAAGAGTACTGTTCTAATACTCTTCACATATCTGTATGTGTGTGTCTCTGTATATTTCACCCCCATTTTGGAGACGTCTAGTGTTTATCTCTTTGTTCCTTTGCGCAGACTTCAATAGTTTTATTGAAATTCTATTTGGACTGAGTGTTCTTATGGAATTCTGGGCAGGAATACAGTTTCTATGCTTTTTTTTTTTTTCTTCTCTTTTTCATTGGTCATCTGCCTCATTCCAGGAAACCAAAGGGTCACATTAGCTCCAGGAGATTGTCTCGGTCCCATCAGGAGACAGGACTGTCTAGGGAGCAGCTTGAACATCCAGTTCTCCTTAATGCAATGTCTCCATGTCCAGCTCATGTCGGTCTTAGGCAGGCATCATTTCAGGCTCCCCAAACTTGCCATCATGTTGCCAAGTGGTTGTTAGGGATGTCATGACAAAGTGGCTTCTTATGGCCACCATGCAGACAGAGACCCTGGGAAGACCATTAGAAGGTCCTATGTTCTTGGCAAATCTGATACGTTTCTCCTAGATCACAGAGGTTTTTGCTTTCTTCCCTTCTTCCTACTTCTCTTGAACTCTTTGCATATTTTTAAAATTGTGGAGTAGGGTGGTCTGCACTTCTAGTCCCAGTTACTCTGGAGGTTGAGGTGGGAGGATCCTTTGAGCCCAGGAATTCAAGGCCAATGTAGACAACCTTCCAGAATACAAGTTAAAAAAAATTTATCTGAGATCAAATTGCTTGAGTTAGACCCCATCTCAAAAAAAAAAAAAAATGTCTGAGTTTATGACAAAAATGGCTTGATTTTTTTTTTTTTTTGCTTCAAAGATTTCAGTTATATTTGGCATCTACAGTGCATATCCAAAGAACATCTTGGGAGGCTGAGGTAGGAGGATTGCAAGTTCAAAGCCAGCCTCAGTAAAAGTGAGGTGCTAAGCAACTCAGTGAGAGACCCTGTCTCTAGTTTTGTCAATTTTTTCAATTGTTTCTCTTATTTCGATTTCATTGATTTCAGCTCTGATTTTAATTATTTCTTGCCTTCTACTCTACTGCATTTGCTGTCCCTGTCTCTAAAAAAAAAAAAGAAAGAAATAACTTCTCTTCCTAAGTAATGTAGTTATAAAACATAACAGCTTGTAAGAAGTATTTTGTAATATATATCAAGTTTTCCTCTTGGATATTTAAAAAGATACTTTTAAAGAATTACTTGATTATTTTGATTTTCATACCAGGTGAAGTTTCTTTTAGGATGATAATGTGAATGTTTTATATTTGTAGATATATTTCATATCATAGGTTTGAATTTCAGAAAGATGACTTAGGAGGGTATAAATTTATAGTAATATTTAATGTATACAGTTTTTTTCATTTCTAACTGAAATTTTTAATAGAAGAATCAGCTTTTACATCTAGCTATCAAGCCATGTGCAGAATAAATTGTTTGAGAACAACAAAAATGTTAATCTTAACAAGTTTGTTGAATACCTAGTTATTATAAACCCTTAAGTTTTGTCTTTGAAATCTCATTTTTTTGACTGTGTATTTTAGGTACACTGAATTTTCTTTTCATTCTAATTTTCTTTTCATTCTATAATCACTTAAATAGTTGTCTTCAGTGCTTCTCAAGCTATCTGTAGTAAGAGACCAGTTGTAGATTTTTACATTTCTAATACAATAAAATGAATTGCTGGGCAAATGACATTTAAAAAAAGACTTCCAAAATACAAGGTCAATTTAAGAAAAATATTTGAGATAGATACAAAAATCACTCCATCAAATTGCTATTGAAAGTTTCTAAACACTTAACTCTGAATTTCAATACAATTTTTTTCAGACTGGTATCCAACAGTTGATGAAGGGTCTCCTGTCCTCAGGCCACAGGTTGCCTGGCTCAGATCTAGTAAAAGCTGTGCAAAAATGTTTACATCGTTCACGATGATTTTGTTCCATGTGGCTGGATGTTATTTCAGGAGTGTGATTTTTTATATATTAAATAATCATACTACATCAAAAACCACACAACTTTTGAATAAGAGACCAAAGTTGTTTTTTGCACTGCACTCCATGTGCCCAGTAACTCCTGCTACTTCCCCCTTGTAGCACCGAGATATGAAGATGGCATAGTTTTTAAAAGGTGGCTCAAAATAGAAATGAAAATCTGTAATCCAGGTCTCATTTGTAAGCAGTCGTGGAGATGTGGAAATGGCATGAGCTAATTAGGGATAGCTTTGTTTTAAGTGAAAGTGTTTAAAATTATGACCAGTTGCAGAGCCTTTTCTCTTTGTTGTTGTTTTGTTTTTTTGTACTGGGTACTGGGGATTTAACCCACTGAGCCACATCCCCATTCTTTTTAAAAAATTTTTTATCTTGAGACAGGATCTCTCTAAGTTGTTTAGGGCCTCACTGAGTTGCTGGGGCTGGCCTTGAATTTGCCATCAGTTGCAAATCTAAGGTTAACTGAGTTAAAGCCCAAACAAGCCCCAAACAAAACAACCAGAATAAGACCATTAGTTTTCTTTACAAACATTCATTATTCTTGGTTTTACCTGGATGGTAAAAATGCATACTCTCAAAATATGTTTTACCCTAGAGGAAACTATCTTTTTGTTGTTGTTGTTGTTGTTGTTTGTTTGGGTACCTGAGATCTACTATTGAAGAAATGGAAGTCCCTGCATTCAAAAGGGCATGAGGCATCATGTTCATCAGTGTTAGGAGGTAACACTTAGACATCTTACATTAAAAACGAAGTCACAGAGATTATTCAAATTCTTCTTCATAAAAAAATGTGTGTTTATTTGAACACTGTTAACATTATGATGAAGAAATATCACTTGAAAAGAAGCCATTTGTCATTTACTGTGTCAGCCCCTTTGTTCAGGAGCTATGTCATCTTTTATCTGTAGAGACAGAAAATACATTAAAGGAAACTTCATGGTTTATCATCGATGTCACTTTTTCATGGTGGTCTTGAATGTTTGGTCTCTAATATCATAAGACAGAATATATAAATACTAGCTTGTAAAGGGGGAAGAAATATTCTAATTCTCTGCTGCCCTTACTTATAATGATTTTAGTTTACAACCTTTCATTTACCTGCTTGAGTTTATTTTTTGTTCATAAAACTGAAAATTATTGCTTGTTAAAAGAGATAAGTGTATTGTAAAAAAAGCAAATGATAGGTTTTATGTTATTGTACCTCTGTTGTTATTGTCTGATATTTACTTTTATAATACCTTATTTTTTAGAGCACTGTTAGAATATGTACATTTCATGAGATCTTTTAAAATCAATACTTGCATGTGATAAATCAGTAGAATGCTTAGAAGTTAAACCTACCCCATACATCTCCAGAAACCTTTTCTTTCAATAAATTGTTTTTTAGTTCTTTGCTTCTTTGATCATGTCCCCATTTTCTCTGTTTCTCCAGGCCCATATTGGTCACAGGCTACACTTCAACCTTTATGGCACCTCCTTTATGCCAGCATATGATGCTTTAGTCCCTGGAAGCTTTGAGTGCCCAGACAAAGCTTACCCTTGAGAATTTGAATTCAGTCCTGTGTTTCTTATCAGCTCAGGTCTGGGCTGGGGAGCACCTATGTATTTTTAAAGAAGGGAACCCCAAAGGAAGCTACTAAAATGAGTAAATTTTACTTATGGATTTTCTTATTGTTGCTTATCTTTTACTTGTTTATCCTTATTATTTTTTACCACTGATATTTTAGTTGATAACTTTTAGTTCCTTGCCTTTAAATCTTTCCTTTAAATCTTTAAATCTTTTTTTGTAAGGACAAATAGGATGTTTTTATTCCAGTAGCATTACTGAACCTGAAATTGAGGCTGATCATCTAAATAATTCAACATGGTCCCTGAAGGAAAAATATTCTGGGCATCACTTAGGGTTTTATTGCAAGCAATAGAAACCAATTGTGCCTTTTTAAAAAAGACTTTATTGGCAGAATTAAAGAAGATGCAAACAATCAGGTCTCCAGAAAGCCAAGTATTAAGTCATTTCCAAGGTAGGAGCGCATAGGCAGTCTCTTTGGAGTGCTGACATTAGGAAGATCCTCCTTTGAACTTTGTCATCAGTTGTGACATTCTGCTTAAGATGCAGGTGGCAAGGAGGAAGGCTGTTGGTTTGGTGTGACCCACATACTCATTTCTTGGGTAGAGATGGGATCGTCATGGATAGTTGTATGATGAGCACAGTGAATAGCAGAGGGGCAGTTCCCAAAGGAAAAATGGTTTCATCATCAACAAGCGGACAGATGAGAAAGGCAAGTGTCCCCCCTGTTCTCTCCTGATGAGCAACGTTCAGCGCTCACTCTCCTGTTGCCTTCTGCTCCTAGTGCTGCCTCCAGTGCTCGTGCCAAGACACAGTGAATACAACCCCCAGCTCAGCCTCCTGGCCAAGTTCCGAAGCGCCTCTCTGCATAGCGAGCCACTCATGCCACACAATGCCACCTACCCCGAGTCCTTCCAGCAGCCTCCGTGTCCTGCGCTCCCTCCCTCACCAAGCCATGTGTTCTCACAGTCGCCCTGCTCAGCCAGCTACCCCCACTCCCCAGGAAGTCCTTCTGAGCCAGAGTCTCCATATCAACACTCAGGTCAGTAAGAGCCATGGTCTGTGGGAAACTATGGGAAATTAGGACCTGAAGCTATTATTTATAGTGGACAACCACAATCATAGTCACTGTAACTGACACTTGTATAGTGTTCTACAGGTCACAAGATAATCTCCATAGGCTGTGTTGGATCCTCTCTGTAAGATGATCAGGACTGTACCCATATGGGGAATGTGCTGACATCATAACAATGTTTAGCGGGAGGCTCACACAACAGCGTGATCATATGCCTATGAACCAAAAAGGATCAGGACTGTGCCCTATTTGCCAACGTGTTTTTGCTCTGATTCTCACTTCTAAACACTCTCAGAAAATAAAAGGATTTGAACACCATTCCTGGGAATATCCAAGAATTATTTTTTTTTAAGTAATAGAAATAAGTTTAGAATACATCTCTAGCCCAAGCAGAAAGACTTGACCTGAGGGCAGGCAAAGTGGAGGGTCAGGGTTAGGCCTTTTCTTTGGTGGCTTCTTTCAACCATCAAAGGGAGTCCCTGGCTACAAAAGATAAGTGTATTATTTTCTTCCAGACAATGCTTTTCACTTTTTGCTCTGTGAAGCCAGGGCACCAGCTTGAAAAGAAAGCTCTTCGGTAACTATTTGCTGAATTGAAAAAGCATAAAAAAGAGAAAGGGAGAATCAAGCACACAGCCATAGTTGCATGTGCTGCCACATCTGTGAAGTGGGTCCAAGCTGACATATGAAGAGATTTAAGTACACTCATAAATGTAAGATAAATAATATCCAGGACTAACAATTTCCTTAAGGCCAACGTGAATACATTTGGTGCCAGCGGTGGTTACAATCTGCTGCACTCATTTATTATTCATGAATTCACTTTTTTAAAAAATATTTTTTACTTGTAGATGGACACAATACCTTTATTTATTTATTTTTATGTTGTGCTGAGTATCGAACCCAGTGCTTCACTTATACTAGGCAAGTGCTCTACCACTGAGCCACAACCTCAGCCCCATGAATTCACTTTTATTTCTATTTATTTATTTTTTTTAAAAGAGAGAATTTTAATATTTATTTTTTTTTCAGTTTTCGGCGGACACAACATCTTTGTTTGTATGTGGTGCTGAGGATCGAACCCCGGGAGCATGCATGCCAGGCGAGCGCGCTACCGCTTGAGCCACATCCCCAGCCCATGAATTCACTTTTAAAAACAGATATTTATTAAACTCTAAATGCAAACATTGCCTTAGGTTACTGAAAACGAATTAAATGTTCAACAAAAATTGTTCCTGTTCTCAAAGACCTTGTAAAATGGGGAAAGATATAGGAGTTGCCTCTTCCCTTTCAAGGTACTTTGTTCTTTTTGCCTCCTCAGCAAGTTATTTATATACATACTTTCATATTTATCACTTTATATTTTATGATTCCTTATTTTTCTATGTCCAGCATAGAGCTGTTCATTAGTTGCTTATTGAGTAAAGAAATTACCACACAGGTGTTTCGAACATGTAAAGCTCAGAACTATAGGTAAGACATTTCATTGACTTAGTGTAGTAATGACTGTGCACCTGTTAAGTGCACGGCACCCCGCCAAGACAAGAAGTGCAATAATGATTACCATGGCCTCTGACCTTCACGAGGCAGTGATATGGAGAGCATCATGTAAATCAGGCGATAGAGGCTGTGACCAGCAGTGACTACAAGGACTTGAAGTAAAATATGGGTGTGGGATTGGAAAGAGGCAATGAATTAGAGGAGGCAGAATCAATGGGACTTGATATGGGGGACAGACTGAGATCCTGGACAAAATCTCAGAAGTCCTCACAGAGTGTGGGAGCAGGTGGTTGAAGTTCTGTACCTGGCCAAGTTCACTGAGAGGGAGGCATTACAGAGAGGGCAGAACCCTGGTTAAGGGACAGGATAAATATGTTGCAAAATACATATTTACATAACACATCTCTGCTATAATGATTTCCCGTATGGACTTTGCATTTTGACTCTGGTTACATAAACAAGGTGATATTGTCCCTCCTCTTTCTGTCTGTGAAGGGCAGAGCCCAACCAGGATGCAGAAGCTGATTAGGTTCTCACGGAAGGCATAGCACTGTGCATTTCAGAGAAAACAATTCTTCTCTGAATGATTAACCACAAAACCACAAATGCCAACCTGAATAACAGACCCATACATAAGTAAAAGGAACTTTTGAGATTAATTCGTTTTCCCCTAATTTTTTAGACAGCTTTATTAAGATCTAATTCACATGCCGTATGATTGATTTATTTCAAGTGTACGATTCAGTGATTTTTTTTGGTATATAAGATTAATTTTTTTTTAAGTTGTGGTAAAATATGTCCTTTATAAAAATTGTCATTTTAGCCATTTTTAAGAGTCCCAATTCAGTGGCATTAAGTATATTCACTATGTCATGCTTCCATCACTACTATCTATTTGCAAACTTTTTTATCACTCTAAGGAGAAACACCTTACTTATTAAGCAATAGCTTCCTATTTCCTACCATCCCCAGTTCTGGTAACCTCCATCCTACTTTCTATCCCTACAAATTTGCCTATTCCAGGTACCTGATTATAAGTAGATACATACAATATTTGCACTTTTGTATCTGGCTTATTTCACCTAATGAAGTGTTTTCACGGTTTATCCATGTTGTCGAATGTATCAATACTTTATTTTTGTGATTGAACAATATTTCATTGTATGACATACCAAATTTTTTTTTTAAATCAATTATCAGTTGTTAGATATTTGGCTTGTTTCCACCATTTGGCTTTTGTGAAGAATTCTGCTGCGAACCCTCGCAGGCAAGTATCTGTTTGAGTCACTGCTTTCAATTCCTTTGGGTGTAGACCTAGGAGAGGACTGCTGAGTCATATGACAATTCTGTATCCAGCATCTGAATTTTCTAGATCGATTTACTCCAGGACCTATAAAAGAGCCATTTTGCTTTATAACTCTTTCACTAGGGTCACAGTACATTTTGTCGTAAGGAAATACTTTATCCATGGCTTCCTAGTGTGGCCCATAAGCTCCTGCATTAGAATTGGCAACAGGGCCTCTTAAAATGTACATGGCTATATGCACCTACTGATCTGATCAATCAGAATTTCTGGACGTGTGATCAGGAATCTGCAGTTTTAGCAAGTGCCACTGGCTTTTTTTTTTGTGCATTCCTCAGTGTGAGAACTACTTGTGTAGTACTGATCTGCTTTTCTCTACTGTTGGATTCCACCATGAGCATTTCTAGACTCTTCTGAACTAGCATTAGGAATGGAAACTGAAGGAATCAGTTATTCTGAGTTGCTCTCTGAAGTTTTCCCACTGCCTCAGAGTTTTTATTGTGTTATGAATGACTTCCTGATAAGCTGCCATCTATGTAATGCTAAGGTCACTGTCTGATCAGGACTGATACTAGAGGAGAAGGACCCTCCCTGATCAGTATGCCCTGGGCCCAAGGTTATAATCGATTTTCAACTCTTCTGTTTTGGAGGCATATCTTGAGGCTCCTCAGGAACAATTAATTCATTCCTGTGGCCTTTGTACAAGCCATGGCAACTTGGGAACTGAAGATAAATAATTTCAAAGAAGAGTCAGCTTTCTATGTGTTTTACAAACCAGGTAACAGACTGTTCTATTGATGAAAGCTCAGAGAATAGCTTCTCAATTTGAAGATCTTAAAGTCATTTGGACTCAATGCTAATTCATTAGTCAGAGGTAAAACTAAGCAGCTTTCCAGAAGGAACCTTAGAACAACCAATTTCTTTGGTGAGACACTCAAAATGTCACTTTAGAAGCATTTTGTTATGTTAATATGGTCTCTCTTTAGCAGTAACACTGCCCCCCAAGCCCACAAGTTTAATAGCAGAACAGACTGGACTATGCATAGTTTATCAGCTGACAAAGCCTTTGTTTCACTGCTTTCCTGTCATTGACCCCCCTCACCTCATCATGCCACATAAACCCCAGGGACCCAGAATGGCTGCACTGTAGATGCCACTGCCGATAGTCTTTTAGTACAAGCAGCACCTCACGGTGGTAAATCACAGGTAAACAGCTAAATGTCTCCAAGAGAGTCTCCTATTACCCAAAAACAAAACAAAATGTGTTTTAAGAGGCAGATAGCATGGCTTTGCATTTTAAATTTGGCTTTCTTCAGTGCTTGAGAATGAATGTTTTATCACCTTTCTTACAAAAGTTAAGTTAATTTTTAATTTTAAACTAGCATTTAGAAGTCTGTAGGGTTTTGTTGTTGGTGGTGGTGATGATGGTTTTTGTTTTATTTAGTCTTGTTTTTGTTTATTTTGAGGCGGGATCTCACTATGTTGCCCATGCTTGCCTGGAATTCCTAGGCTTAAGTGATTCTCCTGTCTCCCTGTAGCTGGGCGCACATCATCTTGCCTGGCGTTGAAGTTTGTAGTTCTTAACATTTAGTATGGAATTGGGGACTTAAAAAAATTGGAGATTTTATTCCATTGTAAAAATATATATGCACCATAAGTTTATAGGTAGAGGAGTTGTTCAACTTTAATGTTCATACAAACCAAGTAGCAATCTGAATATAGATGCAGTTTTTGATTCTGTAGATCTGGGATGGGGGTTCAAGAATCAACGTTCCTTGCAGAATCTCAGGTGATGGAGACATAACTGTCCCATGAACCACATTTTGAGTAGGAAGGGTCTAAAGGAGTTTACTATTTAAAGGATCTCTTTATTAAGTGGCGATCATTTTGTAAATCAAATAGCAATCCTAATTTATTGGTTTCACAAAATTATATTTTAGTGCATATAGGAATGTATTCTAGATATGAGAATTACTAATGTATTCAAGGAAAAAATATCAATAGGAAGAGAAAGGGTGTGGATAGAAAAAAAAAGGAAGAACTCTGTACTGTGGTTGGGAAACACAGTTACAGGAACACTTGCTGTAACATTAATGTGTGGGGTGAAAACATAACATTCATGGGCTTGCAGATGAAATATCCAGCTTTCTTTAAAGTACTTTTATGCCATTTGTAACTAGATATCCCAGGAGAATGTAAGCCCCTCTAAGATTTTTTTTATTTCTTTCTTAAATAAAATTCTGTTCACTGTTTTGATTTGGGTTTTATCATACCCAAATGATTTTTTTTTAATTTTAAGAAATTATACTTTTTGGCCTAGGGATTTCGTTTGGCGTAATAAGAGTAAGATGCTATCTTTCATATGTAAAGATGAAGTTACCTGATAGCTTCATTTGAGCTATTTACTTCAAGGGTGTTGATTTTCTACATCAGTCTGTTCATATCACCTTTTCCCTGTCCCCATCATGACCATTAAGCATATTTACAGATGCTATAACCATGGAAGATTAACAAGCCTCTGCTCCACAAGCTACCCCCAAAACAGCTTCCATTAGGCAGGTTTAAAAGATTGTGAAGCAGCCTCACTAGTCTTACAGCCAACCTGCTGGTTGAAAGCATTCATCTCCATTTCCCTGTGGATCTCGGGCTTTGGGGTCCAGGTATGACAGTCATGAAGTGCTGTCTGGCTTCCTTTCTTTCAGACTTCCGTCCAGTGTGTTACGAGGAGCCCCAGCACTGGTGCTCGGTCGCCTACTATGAACTGAACAACCGAGTAGGGGAGACATTCCAGGCTTCCTCCCGAAGTGTGCTCATAGATGGATTCACCGACCCTTCAAACAACAGGAACAGGTTCTGTCTTGGACTCCTTTCGAATGTAAACAGAAACTCCACAATAGAAAATACCAGGAGACACATAGGAAAGGGTAAGAGCAAATGTGTCATGCCTTGATGTAGCCTTCTGAGCTGAAAGAGTGGCCACAAACTGGCCATGTGGCCTTGTGGAAAGAACCCAGGGCTGGTAAACCGTGGGCGAGTTCTTGCGTCACAAAAGGAGAGAGCTCATGGGCTTTCAGGGTCCTGCTCTCTCTGCCTTTGCAGTCAGCAGGCTACCTTTGCGGGTGGTGTGTTGCAAACCCAAGAAAGATGACACCTTTGAAAGAAGGATGAGATTATTCAATGGAGGTATCATGTGTTACTTTTGAATTGCCTAACGATGCCAACTAGGATGATTTCTGAAGAAGAATTCTGACTGGATGGTTATCGACATGAGGTAAAATGATCTGCATCCACTTAGAAGTGAGGGAGTTGAAAATATGAAAGAATTATGCTTGAAAGCCTTTGATAGGTGACTGGGGCTCTCCCATGTCTGGCTGTTCTTGTGACAGCTCGTGGGTGGGCACAGGCCTCACTGGTCTCTAACCCGTGAGCCTTGGGGCCTGTCTCATCCATATTTGCAAGGGTAGCACATCCCAGCAGAGTTTGAGGCCAGGATGAGGGTCTTTAAATTCTTTCTTTTATTTTAGAATTGTTGGTGTCTGCCTGATACTCTAAGAACCTTTAGAGTTGGTTGATCTTTTCTCTTCCCATCTGGAAAAGTAGTCTTAAGTTTTTTTCTCAGATTTCTAGGGAGATTCATTATTTCACTGTGTGATGTTTCCTAAGTCTTTCTTGCATACTCCCCAAATGTCCCCTGTTGTATTAAGTCTACCAGCCATTGATTAGAAACAGGTGGAATTCATTCATTGATGTTGATGCTTAATGAAGACAGTTACTTCATGTTTATTTACATTCTGATTCTTCCATAGCACCTTTGAGGCGGCTTACAAGAAAACTTTTGCTTTGAAATAATAACTACAAAATAGAAAATCAGAAACCAAGGTGGGGAGGGAGAGAATTCAAGTACAGTCACTATCTGTATATGGTTTTTTTATATCTGTGGATTCAACCAAACTCAGATCAGAAACATTCAGAAATAAATTGCATCTGTACTGAACATGTACAGACTTTTCTCTTTTCATTGTGCCTTAAACAAAGCAATGTAACAATTATTGACATATCATTTACATTGTATTCAGTATTCTAAGTCACCTAGACATCCAGGGTATACAGGAGGAATGTGTGTAATTGTATACAAACACTACACCATTTTATATTAGGAACCTTAGCACCCTCAGAGATTGGTACCTGCCATGGGTCCTGGAACCAAACCCTTCCAGACACCAAGGGACGACTGTGTGTCATCCATAGAGAGAGCATTGTGACTGTGCTTGTGATTTTTGTGGTAGGTTTCCTGAGAGGGAGTGCAGAAAGAAGAAACTCAGTCTCCATGTAGTTCTTATCCCAACGGGGAAAATAGTTGTTACTCTAAGGAAGAAATAATTTTATTTGACTGAATTCCTAAACAAGTTTCTCAGGTGTGGCTCTATTTTTAAATGATTTTTGTATGAGACTCTTCAGTAAAATCTAAAGACAAAACATTAACACATAGCACTGTGGAGCTATTTGATGAAGGCCTTGCAGATTGATCTCCTTAGTAGACTTCTCCTGGTGCTAGTGACTCCAAAGAGAATTAAAATATTAAAGAGCTTGTTCAAGGTGTCATTGATGAGGACAAAGAGAGTAGGTGCCTATGTTGCTGACTAAGAGCTAATCTATAAAAGCAAGACCCAGGATGCAACCTGCTCCAAAACCCAGGCTACCTGGCTCTGTTGGTGCCACCTAAATGGAAGGACAGGCTCTCCACTTTTGTTTGGTCTCCAAGGCAAAGTCACAATAGTCTCAGAAATCTGCTTAGGAATTACTCTAATATGAAAAAAAGAGATTTTTTTTAAAGAGACACTATGAGGCATGTCATAAAGCATGGCAGCAAAAAGTTTTGGCTTGGGCTATTTTAAATCAAGGGCCATTGATCTATGAGATCACAAGAATAGCTCTCAGGTACTGTTGTGATTATCTGCTTCTGAGCAGCATGGCTTCCTGGGGCACTAGCCCAAGTCTGTAATGCACTGCTAAGTTAGCAAGAAAGTGAACTTCTCTGCAGAGTTAACTAATAGAGATGCAAATTTCAGAGGTATGCATTCATCTCACAAATATATACTGAGCACCTGTACTCAGCCAAACTGGACACCAGGGGTAAGGGCAGAAGAAAAAGCAAAAGCACCTGCCTTCCTGGATTATGGGCAACTAGGGAAAGAAAGGCAGGAGATAATCTATACAGTATGTCAAATAGAGAAAAACTGAGCAGGGGTAGAGCAGGACTGAATGTGAAATGGGAAGATAGATTTAAGCCAAGAGTTCATAGGATATAAAAGGATCCTGTGGACTGGGGGTGTAGCTCAGTGGTATAGTGCTTGCCTAGCATGCAAAAGGCCTCAAGTTTGATCTGAGCACTGCAAGTATATATATATATATATATATATATATATATATATATATATATATATATGTATTTTAAAAAATTTTTTTGAGATTAGATGGGGGAGAGGCTAAAGGTTGAAGATGGCTTAAAAAATTCTTTTTATTATAGTTAGTGATGAGCCATTTCTCCTCTAAAGAATTACTGTTAGCTTTGCAACCATTTTATTTTGTGTTCTTTGTTACTTAAATTTAGCCAAGCTGGCAGGCCCTCCAAAAAGAAGTTAGTGTTGTTTCCCAGGTGGCAGTGCAGGCTTGCGGGTTGTGTGCCCTCTGGTGCGGATGGTTTATGCTAGGCTGCCCAGGCCTTTTCACTCCGTTTTCCATCCAGTGGGACATACCGTGAGGCAGTGGGGTTGGTAGGAAGCATGCATTTGCAGCCATGCAGCAGTTATCTGGTGCAAAGGGAATTGAACCCGTTCTTCTGACCTCATCAGCAAAAAAGTTTCAGGTTGCTACTAACAAGCTAGCACTAGCAACCAGAGCCACCTCTTAACAGCAGAGCAACACCTTGAATAACAGGGGCAATGGCCAGTGTCTCATTGGGGGGGGGTTCTTCTTCTTCCTGCAGAGAAGGGTATAAGCCACCTGAAAACTTAAAGTTTAAAATAATTAGTGAAGAACAAAATACAAAGAGCCAGAAATATGTTTACAAAAGCGGAGCCCTTAATATATCCAGTCCACACAAGAGCTGGAACTAGACAAATAGAAAATGGCTCCCATGGTTTATTGAAGGGGGGTCCATCAAAAGCAGGGATAAAGTTTCAAGGGTGGAGTCTTGCTTCGTGATGTCTTGCAGTCAGCAGGTTGATTGGCATCTTGGCAGGTCACACACCCATCTCAAAGATGCTGTGTGGTTATAGCAGTTTACCCCATCTCTGGTGCCCTGTGGGACCTTTGGCAGAGCTTGAATAGGGCTCACAATGAGTCAGGGCAGTCAACCAGAGGAAATGTCCACCTGTCATTCTCAGACACCAGATTCTCCTATTTAATAGGTTACAACGCATGGCAGCCCACTCGTAGCCCATGGATGGCTCTCGACACTCGGAGAGTCTGGAACACTAAATTCTAATCTGGGATCTGTCCACATTCTTCTTTGAAAACTAAGCAACACACTTGAATGCTTTCCAGTGACTTGCTAAAGAGTAAAACAATGATGGTAATGATGATGGCTATCCCTATTGATTTCCTCACTTCCCTAGGTGACACTTTGAAAGAGACAGGCTCATTTCCCTTCTGCAGGTGTAGATGTGTGGCATTTGACCTATCTGATATTTGTTATTCTCTCTGTGGGAGAAAACATATATCATTATGATAATTACTGAGGCATTAACCCCAGCTATTGAGTTTGCTGAGGTAAATCAAGATCACCCTGTCAAAATTTCTCATGTATCCCAAGTCATTTCATTGTTTTGGGAATTAGTTTTTCACTTTTTTACAAATTTTTCACTTTTTACAAATCTTAATTTTCTTTCATGTTTTAAGTTCCATAGAATTCTAGAAATTCTTCCTGTTCGTGAAAGGAATCATCCTGATGCCAGAGTCTGGTCCTTGTTAGTTCATTGGAAGGAGGATTTGCCCTTCCAGGTGTTATTAGAATTATTTTTTTCCCCAAGGATTTAGTTTCCCTCCCTCAAAATAACCCTTCCATTCTGCTTTTGAGCATGGGTATGGCTTCTTCAACTTTGAAAAACAAATCCTAAAAAAGTTTAACATAGAATGTCATAACTATTACAGTCATTAAACTTGACATTGCAGAATATCTGGTATCCTGGAAAAACCCTCATAATATATTACTAAATGAAAAAGAGAGTTTTAAAACATCATGTAGAGAATGATTCCAATTTTTTAAAACCTTTTTTTTCAAAATAGTTGGACATAATACCTTTATTTTATTTATTTATTTTTATGTGGTGCTGAAGATTGAACCCAGGGCCTCGCACATGCTAGAAAAGCACTCTACCACTGAGTCACAATCCCAGCCCCCCAATTTTGTTTTTCTAAAATATACTTCACAAAAGACAAATATATATATCAGTTGTTAACTGTGATTGTTTTAGGGCTGTGGGATTATGGTGGGCTTTAATTTTCCATGTCTAGATTTTCTATAGTGGGTTTCTTGCTCATGTGTAGATGGGGGTCCTGGAGGTATAAGGGTGTACTGGGAACACTACCACAGTAGTGAGAGAGAAGCATCATGGCCCAGTTCACCCAGCACAGGCTGAGTGGCTGCGTGTGTGACTGGCAGTGATGGGACATTCAGCATAGTGCATTTGGACCCAAACCTGCTTGGTCATCTGTGTCCACAAAGACTTAGTCTTCAAGTACTGACTTACTATGGCCCAGAAGTGATTATGTAAAATAGGAAAAGGTGCCCCTTCCTTAAGAGAAATCACTGTCCTCTTGGTAATAATTATACCAAGTTTGGAAGAGAATGAGGCAAACCCTGGAGTTGTGCTTTAGGAATAGTCCTGTGGAAGACGCAGCCCTGTCCTCTGATGTAGGCTCTGGTGTGGGTTTGGAAATCTGTATTTTTATTTTCTTGATCATACATCATTGTAGAATACTTCAAATATACACAAAATTAGAGAGAGTGGTGTAATGAGTCTTCGTGTCATCTCTAGCACCAGTAATGATTGACATTCTGTGCTCTTTTTTTTTTTTCATCTATCCTCCAAGCTGTTTTGGCTAGAGTATTTTATTATTTTTATGTATCTATTTATTTATTTTTGTGGTGCTAGAAATTGAATTCAGGGCCTCACACATGCTAGGCAAGATCTCTACTACTGAGCTGTATGCTCAGCCCTTGCTAGAGTATTTTAAAGCAAATCTCAGACTTTGTAACCTTTTGTCCATCTATTTCAATATGTATCTCACTTTATAAGAAATTTTTTAAAAATATAACTATCATACCTAGAAATACGTACCTTTTTAAAGCTCTAGATGATCCTTATAATCAGCTAGGCTTTAAAATAGCTGTGCAGAAGAGAAGGCAGCAAAGACAAAGGCAAGGTCAAGTAACCTCCAGGGAGGCATTGAGTTGTGTGAGTCAGCTTTTTGTTGCTGTGATCCAAGGACTGACAAGAACAACTTAGAGAAAGGAAAGTTTATTTTTGGCTCAAAGTTTCAGAGGTTCAGTCTATGATGGGCTGACTCCATTGCTGTGGGCCTGAGGTCATGGGGAACATGATAGAGGAGGGCCCAGCAGAGGAAAGCTGCAGAGCTCATGACAGCCAGAAAGAGGGGGGAGCAGGAACAGATATAGTCCCTGCGGGTATGCCCCTAGTAACCAACTTCCTCCAACCCTGTACCCCACCTGCCTATAGTTACCACCGCTAGTCCATTCAAATTATTACTTCACTAAATGGATTAATCCACTACTGAGGTTACAGCTCTCATAATCCAATATTTTCACATGTGAACATTGCAGCATTCCCATTTTGGGGGGCATTCCAGATCAAATCCATAACAGTAAGTTGAAGTTTTGCTCTTAGCAGGGTAGAGAGGCTGAGTTCTTTGAGCAGGAGGGGGCATTTATCCTCCGTCCCAGTCAGAAGATCTATGTGCATACCTACACTTTCTGACTTCCTCCCCTGACTATGAGTAGATCCCTGGGCATTGGGTACTCTCTCTATGGTGGCATTGCTCTCCTTCCATTCTTCCCTCCTTGTGTCTCTACTTTGAGACAATAGAACAGGATTAAAGGGACACGCTTGCATTCTGATCCTGCAGATCCAAATCAAACCCAAAGTGCCACCACACAAGACTCACTGTTCTCATAAAAAGTGAGTGGCAGTCCCAGACAAATGAAAAGTTTAGATACAGAAAGACACAGCCCAAGTGTGAGCAGAACCTGCCATAGGACCACATTGCCTGGTTTCTCTTGTAACCTCTCTTTTTCCTCCAGAATTTTTTTATTAGTGCATTATAATTATATATAATAGTAGGGGTTCTTTATTACATATTTGTGCAGGCACACAATATAACAATATCAAGTAGTGCTTTTTCTTATTCCCTATTGCTAGAAGTTAGAACAAGCTATAGGATTATAACAATAGCTTTGTTTACATTGCTTTGTCTAAAGCTTCTCCATGATAATAAAACTTTAAAGGCATATTTTATTGCAACAAGAATAGATATGATTTCATCAGCAACTGACAAATGTAGCTGTAATGAAATCTGCACATGTTCATTTTTTTCCTGTACTGGCTTCAAGAAATGTCACATAAATCAGGGAATTCACAAATAATAACCTTTTGCAATGAGGTTTCAATTCTGACAGAGATGTGAAATTTTATGGGACCACCTGCTAGTATTCATGATCAGAATGAAATAATGAATTCTATGATATTCCTGTCTGAAAATAGTTGTCAAGTATCCCATGCTTAAATATCCAGCCTTTCCAGTTTTGTAGACTAATCTGTAAGGTAGTCTGAGTTGCTTAACGGTGGTTCCCAAAGTGAGGAAGTGTCTGCTTCACCTGGGAACTTACTAAAATGCAAATTGTCTGCCTGATTTCATGCTTACTGAGTCAGTGAGCTATCTGGCTTTTCGTTTTGATTTTGTTGTGGTGCTGGGGATGGAATCTAGGGTCTCGCACATGTGAGGCAAGTGCTCTACTGCTGAGGCTGAGCTATGCGCCCCCCACCTTCCTGCCCAGGCATCTGTAGAATGAGCCCTCCAGGTGATCTGGGTGCAGACTAACACTTGAGAATTGTTTCACTTTGTGGCCATCTTGAATTTGATACCTATGGTTGAAAGCCACAATTTTGGCCTTTCAGATGGATGCAAATAAAATCACACATCTACTGGACTCTTCTGTTGATGACACTGTCTCTGGCCAAAAGCTGGCCTCCTCACAGTGGGCCTGGCTTCTGACCTCGCCTGGTGTTTGCAGTAGTCTCCACATTCTTCACCTTGGCTCTCTTCTCCTCTCTCGGGATGCTGGGCCACTACCCATCCATCTGCCCAGGCTCTCCTCTGCTCCTCTCTCTTGGCCAACTTGTACTGTGGTTGCAGATAAGCCTTTAACAGGATTGAAAACCACCCCCTAAATAAAGATCAGGGTCAGATAACACAAATCTTATCTATTCTACTTAATAGTTTCCAGTAGGATTATATATTTGAAGGTCATTCAGTTCAAATGCATACTAAAGGCTTAGTGGGCCTCACTCTGGCTTTCTCCACCTGCTTTCCCTCTTTTAGGGCCCCCTCCCCAACTCCACCCTTGCCTAAGAGGAAGGCCTCCCCCAGAGCACAGAGTGGCCAAGGGGGCCGTGCTGGCACCTCCTCACTATGGACCAGTCAAGTCACTACTTCCTGCTTCTGTCCTGCTTCCTCTCTACCTAGTGTGCCTGGGTCGTGAGTGTCAGGCCATTCAGGAAAATGAATAATGGAGATGAGAAAGAAAAGGGAGAGGAAGGCTGGGGAAATAAAAAGGGGAGCCAGTCTGACACAGGAAGTGTAACAGTGGCCTGAAAATCCAAAGCTCTGCTTTATCTGTGGGACTCTGGGTCCCACTTCTCAGCAATGTGGCTGGTGTATATAATACTGGAATTTCTTCTTCTCTACTGTCTACCTGCTCAGGCTTCTCTCTCTTCTGTAGATACAGGCAAAATCAAATTAAGGGAAAGAAGACAGGGGCAAAGAAATAAGTATGCTGGGAGGTAGTCAGTCACACAGCATGCAAAATCACCTCCCGTGCTTCTTATAACCTGACACACTGAGCATCTCTGTCATAATGTTTCCTACACTAGGGTCTGAGAAGCCGTGGGGGGTGGTCTATAAACTCTTTTCATTAAAAGTTTTGTATTTTCATTTTGAGGAAACCCAAAACATTATGACATGTATATTCTGGATCCCTTTGACAAATTCCTCTTAACTGCGTGGTGGTTGTGCTGACATCTAGTGTTAGAGTTTTTCCTCCATTAAAATTGGAGAAAAATTATTCTTGTATTTAATATTCACTAGACTAGAATGTCTTCATTTTTTCTAACCCCAGCCCCTTGCTGTAATTTTTTTATTTAATCTCAAACCCTGACACTGGGTGAGAAAGAATCAGCTAAAATTTAATGTGGAAAAAAATTCACATGAGCAGCAACATTCTTAGGGTGCTCTTTAGAATCATATCTCTCCAGTAATGTTAGGTAAGGTGGTATAAGCTGTATTTACTTGTGAGTTTTTATATGACTGTGTCTGTAAGTTTTGGGAATGTCATTGTTCATAAGTCATATAGACATTGTATGAACTGACTTATAATAGTGGGTGATTCACCTTTTAAATGAAATAGATTGCTTTGAAGGATCTATTAAGGGAAACAGATTTATAACTGTTAATAAAATAAACTTCATTTATTGTTTCCTCTGGAGTGGGTTTATTGCATGTACTTAAGTAACATTTTTGTGATATTAATTATCATTTAAATTAAATTTTTTGTTTGCATATGCATGTGAAAGATTATTTTTTTGAATGATGTATTTATTTTGTTTCTAATATTATCAAACCTTATTTTGGAACAAATAAGCATGAGATTGAGAGTGACGGAAGCAATAATATACGAAAGCCTGCTCGTTGGTCCTTGGGAGTAACTGTTGACATGGGTTGCTTTTTTGGAGGAGAGGTACTGGAGATTGAACCTAGGGTGCTCTACCATTAAGCTATACCCCCAGCTCCTTTTATTACTGTTTAAAAATTCTGAGACAGTGTCTCACTAAGTTGCCCAGGCTGGCCTTGAACTTGCAATCCTTCTACCTCAGCCTCCAGGGTTTCTGGGGTTACAGACATGTTCACCGTACCCAGCCATGGATTGTATTTTTAAATGGACTTGTGGAAATGACAGAAATGACAATGAAAACAAGTGGAGATTGGGGTCACATGATTAACTCAGACATCTGTGATTAGTGATAGGAAAATGCACCTGACAGCAGAGTCCCATCTTTCTAGCAGGTAAGAGTCACTGGGAAGTGAACAGAGTTTGCAGGGTGCTGTGTTTTTGTGTCCACAGGCGTGCACTTGTACTACGTTGGGGGAGAGGTGTATGCCGAGTGTGTGAGCGACAGCAGCATCTTTGTGCAGAGCAGGAACTGCAACTATCAGCACGGCTTCCACCCAGCCACCGTCTGCAAGATCCCCAGCGGGTGCAGCCTCAAGGTCTTCAACAACCAACTCTTTGCTCAGCTGCTTGCCCAGTCGGTTCACCATGGCTTTGAAGTCGTTTATGAGTTAACCAAGATGTGCACTATTCGGATGAGTTTTGTTAAGGTAAGGAGTAATTGCTTTTGGATTATAAAACCAGAAAATAAAAAAACAGAACAAACTGCAGAAGCATTCTTTGGTAGATGTGGCAGTTGTACAGCCAATTCAAGTAGATAACAATCCTCTTTTTTTTTTTTAATTCTGTTAATAGTTTTTAAGAAGAACTCTTCTATGAGTATGGATTGTCTTGTTTAGCAGTTTTGTGAAAGTTCCTAAGCATGTTATTTTTGGAAAAAAAAAAAACAAGTTAAAAGAGCTGATTTTTATAAATGAAGAAGATAAGGTGACAGTAATACTGTTTTGTAGGACTAAATGCTCCAGCACTGAGCTACTTCATCAGCCCTCAGAGTAGATTTTAATAGCCCTTTAAAGTGACCAAGACAAAAGATTGTTCTCTTTTTTTGTACTCAAATTAAATTCTTACTGTTTTTTAAAATAATTTTAGCAATTATATGAAAAGCAAATGTTAAGAGTACATAGTTTGAAATTTAAAAAAATGGTTAATTGAAACCATTTCTCTTTCATGATGACAAAGCAGCTTTATTCACATTCACTGTTTGAATAGCATTTTTGCATGTAACATAATTAACAAATTTCAGAAATCTTTTCAAATGCTCTGTTGCTTTAGAGCCAGCAGAGGGCATTGAATTGCTGCTAATGAACCATCATTCCAATTCCAATCCTATGGCTTTTTTTTTTTTTTTTTTTTTTTTAATCCAGGTCTATTTTTAAAATTAGGATGGAATGCCAACATCTCATAGAAATCTGAATTTGTCTAAGATCAACTAGATATATGTCTCAGGTATTCAGCTTTTAAGTTTGTAAAACTAGACAATTTATTAAAAAAACAAACTGTTGCTAGTATTATATGACTTTTAAAAACATCTAGAAAATATAATTATATATGATTAGTTTAAAAATTATAGATCACTTGGGGCTGGGGTTGTGGCTCAGTGGTAGAGCATTCATCTAGCACATGCAAGGCCCTGGGTTCTATCCTCAGAACCACATAAAAATAAATAAGTAAAATAAAGGTATTGTGTCCAACTACAACTAAAAAATATTTTAAAAAATTATAGATCATATAAATAATATTTTAAAAAATTATAGATCACTAAACACTATGGGGGTGATAGTTCAGATCATCTCTTAAGATCTTTTTGGCTCTGATGTTTACTGATTGATCCAAGGACTCCTTCATTCATTCAATCAACAAATACTTACTGAGCACCTGCCGTGTACCAGGCCCAGCACTGTTTTAGGCATTGGAATATTCTGATGGTTACTCATGGATCTCTGCCCTTATGGAACCAATATTGTAGGAGGGAGAGAAAGGCAATAAATAACAGCCATAATAATGAGAAAATGTAGAGATAGGTAAAGGGAATTGGTTGCTGTGGTTGGAAGGTGTCACATGATGTAGGCTTCACTGAAGACATTTCAGCAGAGACTTGAAGATGATGGAGTTAGTCATGGGACTCTCTGGGGAATGAGCAAGCAAAAAAGTCTAACACTACGGGTATGCCTGGAAATTTGGAGAAACAGGCAGGCCAGTGTGACTGCAGTTAACTGCGTGTGGTGGGAGGAGATCAGAGCAACCCTTCATAAGCCACCACAAGGAATTTGGTATTTACCTTTGAAGAGGTGACCAGGCTTTGCTGAGATTTAAACAGAAGGGTTTCATGGTCTGACTTACAGTTTTGAGGATCACTCTGCTGCTGCGTGGATAATAGGTATGAATGCAGGAAATGTGAGAGGTGAGAAGGCTGTTGCAATATTCAGGTGAGAGATGATGGGTGCGCTCCTGCCAGGAGAGCTCCAGGAGAAGGATTCCCAGTTGCGAAGGCAGATTTGAGGTGGGTGTGAGGAAAGAGAATTAGGAAGATGAAATGTTGTCTGTGACCCAGATGGAGAAGATGCAGGCAAGTCAGGCTTATAGATAAAGTTCAGTTTTGGTAACAGCAGCTTTGAGATGTCTGTCATACATTCAAGCAGAGATGTTGAGTGGAGAGTTAGAGGTAAGAGTCTGTTTGTAAATGTGGAATTGTCTGCATATGGATGGTATTTAACTCCCTGAGTCTGAATGAGATTTGAGTTTAAACTGAGAACACAGGAGGTCTGCGACTGAGCCCAGGTACTTCAGTGTTAGAAGGTGAGGGAGAAATAGCCAGTGAAGAAAACTGAGAAAGCCCAACCAGCAAAGCAGTTGGACCAAAACTCTAATAATGCATAAATGGATTAGTGAATCTACTAATGGGTACATGGATGGGCTTATTTGGAAACACAGATGATTTATCTATGGTAAGAGGTAGAAAAGCCACGTTAAGTGGGTGGAGAGTCTCATTTCCAATGGCTTCATTTTTCTTATGAAAATAAGGAAAAAAAAGATCATCAGTTTCAAGTGCAGACAGGGGAGCAGGTGCTAGGGGCTTTTGGGAATAGGAGTGGGGGTGAAGCAGTCAGCTAGAAGGGCAAGCAAGACTGGGGAATGTGGTGCCAGGTGGCCGTAGAGGGCCACTTTAGAATCGTAGTCACAAATATAAAATGTGACCATCCATGGTCAATTCCAATTTTTAAATAACTCTACCAAGAATAGATTCACTGTTCCCAATAACAAAAGTAATACATTTGGGTGTGATCTACCTTTATTTTTAAAAATAACTTTCTATTGATATGTAAAATATAGTTATAGGTAAGCAAGTTTTGGTAATCAACCCTGAAAGTTAAGAGGGCCCTCTAGTTTTCTTCACAGAGATTACTGGCCTATAAGCTGTAACCATTCTGTGCAGAATGCACAGGGTAAAAGAATGTAAGGTGGCATTTCTTCCCTTATGGGAGGGGAGATGACTTGCCAGCATTTCCTGGGTGTTGGGCCTGGAACCCCAGACCTCCAGGTTGGCATAGAGTCATGTGAACCCAGAGCAAGTGCACTGATTCAGACTCCTCTGGTGTCTGGTGGATGCAGTGGTCTGTCCTTACAGGACGATGTAGCGTCCTCTCTGGCTCTCTGTGGTCAGGACCTCCCCAGTGTGTGAGTTCTACCAAGGACCCTGTGCTCTTCCTGGAGGCCATTGGAGGCTGATACAATCACTCTGGCTCTGTTCTTGCTTTTCAGGGTTGGGGAGCTGAGTATCATCGCCAGGATGTCACGAGCACCCCCTGTTGGATTGAGATTCACCTTCATGGACCACTGCAGTGGTTGGACAAGGTTCTGACTCAGATGGGATCCCCGCATAACCCCATTTCTTCAGTGTCTTAACAGTTATGTCTTAAGCTTCATTGCTATAGAATAGATGCTATTGCAGGCAGTGGCTTATATCATTTTAGATTTGCAACTAACCCAAGTTTCTAAATACATGTGTAAATACATATAATATATACTATACATATTTTTTATCACCATTTGTTTTGTGCTACCTAGTTAACCTGGGGCCTGTACAGTGTGATTGGAAAAGCAGGGTTTTCAGTCCCATGCTACTTCTTTTGTGGGAGAAAACAAATGAAAGGTAACAGTATCAGCAACATGTGAGGCCTTTGATGGAACCCAGGCAACTCAGCATGTCATATGGCCGAACAGAACAGCTTCATATGGCCAAAGTCAGGTTTTGGTAGTACTAGAGCAAACAACACTTTTAGACAAAGCCAAAACCAGGCAATTAAAACCATATGGGTTAAATGATCTCACTTTTAGTGCTATTGGCAAGGGGAAAAATGATTTAAGTTTGTACAAGGAATTATGTGAGGTAAGCCACAGCTATTTTATTTCTGCTGGACTATTGTGCTGATTTCAATGGTACATTTTAAATCAATTTAAACCATGATTAGAAAAGAGAGAAACTGTGAAGCCAAGAATCATATTGCCTCAACCTACCACTGTAAAAAACAAAAACAAATGAGTCCAGTAAGGGAAAATAAATAAGAAAGTTGCACGGAATGCACTATAATCCCAATTGTGTAGTCCAGAATTTAGTCCAAGAACCACCCAACAAGACCCCTGGTTTCCATGTTGGAAATCAGGTTCTGGTCTTCCTAGTGATTCAACTTCTGAGTCTGTTGTTGTGTGTGACACTGCCATGTGTTAAGTCCCGTGCAGAGAAGCAGCAACATCAAAGGGTTAAACAGGGAATCATAACATTTACTCACATTCCCACATTAAAGCTTCTATTTCAGGGAAACCTTCTGCTACATTATCCTGCCGGTTGGCAGATTTAACTATTTACAGATTATTGAAATAATAGTAATAGCTCTGAAGACATCTAGACACAATGTTGGATGAAGTTTATAAATTAATTACCTTTGTGCCTATATTGACTAAATTATCGACTGTTTACATCTGGTAGCCTCTTCTAAAGCTAGTTTCCTACTTGGAAATAACTTCACAAGTAAGGATAATTTCATATATGGTCATATAATTTTGTGAGAACAGTGGTACAGAATAACAGGACATCTTTTAAAATATACCTAATATTAAAAACATATTCTTCTTTGGATGATAAAGGGAAATTTTTAGATATTTGCCACCCACAAAACACCACATTGCTTGGAAAAATATTTCAAACCCTCTTAAAAATGTTTAAGTTAACATGGAAGTTATGCTCGTAACAGACAGCACTTCAGTAATCCAGGAGATTGTTTCATTTAGGCATTCTATCTAGCATTAGTGCACATGTAGCTGTTTCTCATTAAATTGTAGTCAAGATAGAAATGATCATGTGAAAAAGATATGAGTGAGCTGCTATTTTCACCTCTTATAATGACTAGTATTATATAATAGAAACTCCATATATATAATAGAAAGTAATTATTCCATTTTACATTAAAACTAGATGGCCCATTTAGTGTTTAGAAAACCCATAGTTCATTGGTTCATCAACTCTGTATTGTTCACCTATATGTGCCAGGTACAATGTCAGGTACTATGGAATTAAAGGCAGACGAGACAGTCCCAACCTTTGTGGAGCAGAGAGTCTAATAGTAAAGTCTTTGCATAGACGTTTGCATTTTCATGTTTCAGAACATGTTTTTTTTTTTGTTTTAGAACAAAACGTGAACTTCCTTTTGGTTAAAAAAGTGTAACTGATTTTTTATTATCTCTATTTTGAAATAGGCACTTGCCTCCCCATTTTCTAATCATTCCCCCATTTTCCCTTCTTGGAGAGGTCAATACTTATGGTGGGTCTCATATTAGTACCATTCTATGGGGGAACATTAAGAATACATAGCTTTTGCTATTAATATCAAACACAGTTTTCTTGATCTTCCCACAAGTTGTCAAACTCATCCTCTTGTAACCCATACCTTTACAGAATTAATCAGCAGTAATGGCTTATAAATGACATTTACAAGACCAAGAATATAAACATTTCCATGCAGTTTTAGGAAACTAGGACAACTTATTGCAGTGCACCTGAACTTTTTCAGTGAAAAATAAATTATGAAATCGGCACGTATCACCCAAACGTCACACCAAAAGCCTTTATTAGGATATTTGTAAAACTCAGAATTGAGAATTGATAAGTAAACCCTCTGTTTATTGTAATGGTCACATTTTAATCAACTTTTTTTTCTTTTGCTGCTAAGAGTTCCCAAAAATTGTAATTTAGTGTTTAATTTTAGACTTCTCGGTGTGGTCATTTAGCATTCATTCTGTGAGTTAGAAAAGCCAAAAAATTGAATATAATTTTTTTATAGGATAGTGAACAAAGTGGACAGGGTAGGCCTTTGAATACATCACCGCCACCGTCATGTTTCAGGTTGCAATAGACAAAGATCATGAGACAGAGAACAGTAACATCTAGGCCTGCTCACAAGAAAGCCAGTATTTTTTATTGTCTGTTAAAAAGGAGATGTGAAAAGTTTGTTTTAGCTAGATGATATGTTAATAGCTACCAGGGCTTTGGAACCAAAAAGATGTCACTTTTTAACACATATACTTGATATGTTATTTTTTTATACTCAGCATAAATCAGGAAAAGTTGGCCAACTGCTAGCATTTAGGATCCTTTTTTTATTCTCTCCTGTGGATGTGGATATTCCCATAACAGCAAACAACAACAGTAACCAAAGCATCTTATAAATATACTTGGTAGACATTAAGCTCCTAACTTTGTGTCCCAAATATTTGGTATATACATTCAATAAATAAATAATCAGAATATAACATGCATTCCAAATTGTCATTCCTATTATGATTTAACAGCTGAACTGTATGAGAAGGTTAGGTGATCCTGGCACATGTTAAAGATAAGTTCCAATGAATGTAAGACACACCAACAAAAAAAGAAACTATCTCTACTTGAGTGGAGCAACACTTTTGATTATAATAACCTTGGCCTCGATTATCCTTCAAATCATACTTATATTGTCATCTGATTGTTTATAATAAAGAATACTGTACCCGATATGTCTTTTCGCTCATTTTTCCTACAAATCTCATACAAGGATTCACTGCACATGGACCTATAGCTTCCTAAAACAATTCGTCTCAAACTGTTCTATTTTGAAAGTGGGATATTAAAAAATTCACCATGCTGTCTAGAAATTAGGTGGTGGTTCTGAATTAAGCATCTTGGGATGACTGGCATTGAGAATAGAATCTTGGGGCTGGGGCTATAGCTCAGTGGCAGAGCGCTTGCCTAGCATGCATGAGGCACTGGGTTTGATCCTCAGCACCATATAAAAATAAACAAAATAAAGGCATTCTGTCCATCTGCAACTACAAAAAAATTTTTAAAAGATTCTTGAAGATATTTTGTAGAAATTTTATAGATGATATACAGATGTTGCTCAATTTATGATGGAGTTATACCAAAAAACCCCTAAGGTGTTGTAAGTGAAAAATGCATTTAATACACCTAATCTAAAACCAAAATCCTCCATTTAGCAGCACAGCACACTGTGGAGTATTGTTTGTTCCCTAGAGATCATGTGACTGGGAGTTGTGGCTTGCTCCTGCTGCTTAGCATTGCAAGAGTTTCATACTGCCTCTAACTGGCCAGGGAAAAGGGCTAACTTCAAAATCTGAAGTGTGATTTTTTTTTTCAGAATACATATTGTTTTCACACCATTTTAAAGTTGAAAAATCATGAAAAATAATTCAAACCATTGTAAACCTGGGACCATTTATACATAGAAGGATTTTTTTCGGGTTAGTAGCAAATATTAAGCAATATACAATGTATAGGAAAGAATGATGAATTTTACTATTATAAACATCTTTACAATGCTATACATTGCCTATTAAAAAGATGCTAAGGAGACCTGGCGCTGTGGCACACACCTGTAATCCCAGTGGCTCAGGAGGAGGCTGAGACAAAAGGATCGAGAGTTCAAAGCCAGCCTCAGCAAAATTGAGGTGCTAAGCAACTCAGAGGGACCCTGTCTCTAAATAAAATAGAAAATAGGGCTGAGGATGTGGCTCAGTGGTTGAGTGCCCCTGAGTTCAATCCCACAAAAAAGCTAAAGAAAGGATAATGAGGAAAAACTTAAGATGAAATCCATATCTAAAAATATAATTTTTAAAATCCCTCCATATAAATTTCCATGTAGTCTTCAAAGACAGGAGGAAAAATCTAAATATTTTGTAGATATTTCTAAAAGAGTAACTTTCTTATTAACTTGATCAGGAATTTTCAATTTTTTTTAAAGCACTGGAACCCTTTATTCAAAAGAAATATTTTGTGAAACCCTAAAACATTAATGTTGAAAGACAAGTCATGCAGGTTCAGAAACAGGTGGGGATCATGAAACTTTAGGTTTAAGTTTTTGGAGGACGGGGGATATAGCTCAGTGGTAAAACACTGGATTAGCATGGGCCAGGTTCTGGGTTCAATCTTCAGTACGAAGAAAGAAAAAATGGTAAACCTGTTTCTGGAGAGCAGGAATGGCTTCTCTGTTCCTGTATCTCCATAGTTCCTGACCCTGTTCTTGCAACTAATATTTGGCTTTCAAACACACCTTCTCAAACATATCTTTTAAAATACACCATGGTGTAGACATAAAATACTGTCCTTAAACATATCCCATCTTACAGAAGTAATATTTTCATCATCCTAGAAACTTCCATATATTCATTCATCAGATTGCTTTTATGCAGCTGGTACAATGATAATAAACTTTCTACCTTTAAGGAGCTTACCACTTTGTGAAGGAAGATAAATATGTAAATCATTAAAATTCAGTTTGCTATCACCTATGATAGGCTGCTGGGGGGATCGGAGGAGTGACATCTTCTTCAGGCCTAGGCTGATTCAACTTCTCTTCCTGCCATCAGTTCCCTTAGCAAGTCACCCCAGACATTCATAAGCCAGGGTAGGTGATTGGCCTCTGTGCTCCCATAATAATTAAGCCCATTAATGGTTAGTTATCTGTTCCTGTGCCACATTGTTTATTTGTACATCTCTCTATCAGCTGGGAGATTTTTTTTTTTTTTTTGATACGAAGGGCACTTAACCACTGAGCCACATTCCCAGACATTTTTAGTTTTTATTTTGAGACAAGGTTTTGCCAAGTTGCTTCGAGCTTTACTAAATTGCTGCTGAGGCTAGCTTTGAACTTGTGACCCTCCTGCCTCAGCCTCCTGAGCCCCTTGGATTATAGGTGTGCAGCTGGGAGGTTTTGAGGGTTGGGTTTGCATCTACTCATTTTCAGCATTTTCCAACTTTGGTTAGAAAGATATTTGGGGCATCTAAAGGCAGAAATGGTATTTGTTTCCCATTCCCTTTTTAAAAAAATTGGTAAAGTATTGGATTTCTCACCTTCAAAATAATAATAATTGCAAATCTCCAATATATGTCAATTGACTATGCACAGCAGGTCATCAGGTAAGTCTGCTTATGATTCAGTTTGAAAATAGTTCTTCAGCTACACATCAATAGCAGAAGTTTTGACAACTCTAAACTGGCTTATTCTAAGTGTTTATTCTCAAAATATGAATCTGAAGATAGCAAGAAGCACCAGGAACTCTGATGTTGCATCGCTGAGTTAACAAAAAGATCTTGTTGATTTTAAAATTTACTTCCTCATGGTCACCAATGGCTCCATAATTTGCATGCATCTGATAAAAATGTTAGCTGTGACCTCAGAATTACACTAGTAATAAAATGAAAAGTTGTGTTAAAATGGAGCAAATATAATGAAAATTATATTCAGTTTGGCTTTTCAGTAAGAAACTATTCAGACCTGCAACGTGTTATTTAGAGATAATTCTTGCAAGTGGCAGGCTAACTTTATAATTTAGAAAGAAAAAAAAAAAACCTCAAATTATCAGAATAAGCCACTGATGTGTACAAAAACAATTTTAAGAATTCCAAACATCAAGTTATAAAGGTATTTTGTTAATTCTGATGCCATGAAACAGTTTAATCTGTATTTTCTTATGTATATTTAGTTTTCAGACTAAACATGATACCATCTTACAATTCATTTGTTAACAAATTTGGTTTTCTTGACAAAATTACTTTTAAAAGAGTTAAATATAATTCATCACTATGTGAATGTTAAAAGTAAATCATCACTAAGTGAATGTTAAAAGTAAATTTTATCTCAATATAATGTACAATAGCTCAACTTATGATCTTTTGGCTTTACAATTGTGTGAAAGCCATAGCATTCAGCTAAAACTTGGATTTGCAGTAGTTTGCATATGCAGACTAGCAATATGTAGCTTGCTGCTCTCTGGTGATGCTGGGCAGCAGCAGAGAGATGCAGGTCCAACTCAGTCACATGATTATTGGAAAACAATGGACACTCTACACATTACTGTGTTTCTAAGCTATAATGTTCCATATGTGTTATGGTTTGGATATGAGGTGTCCCCTAAAAGCTCATGTTTGAGACAATGCAAGGTTTGGAGGAGAAATGATTGGGTTATAGCCTTAACTTAATCAGCAAATTAATCCCTGGTGGGATTAACTGAGTGGTAACTGGAGGCAGGTGAGTTGTGGCTGGAGGAAGTTGTTCATTGGGGGTGTGGCTATGGGGTATATATTTTGTATCTGGTGAATGGAATCTCTCTCTCTCTGCTTTCTGATCACCATGTAAGCTGCTTCCCTCTGCCACACTTTTCTACCATAATGTTCTGCCTCACCTTGCATGCCAAGGAATGGAGCCTGTTGTCTATGGATTGAGACCTCTAAAGTCGTGAGCTCCTAAATAAACCTTTCTTCCTCTACAGTTGTTCTGGTTGGGTCTTTTAGTCATAGCAGTGAAATAGCTGACTAAAACAATAGGTTAGAGGTATTAAATGCATTTTTTACTTAAGATATTTTCAACTTGCAATGGGTTTATCAGGATGGAACCCTATTGTAGGTCAAGGAGCATCTGCACATTTAAATGATTATAATGTATGTTTAAAAGATTTTGATATTTAGGAAAATGTCTCACTTAAAATCATTTTTTGCGTGTGTGCATATTGCATTATAAGAGTTCTTCAGGTTTTAAATATGATTTCCTTATCAGATCAATGATTTGCAAATGTTTCCACCCATTCTATAGGTTAACTTTGTACTCTCTTGATAGTGTCATTTATTTTTTGTACATTGTGAAAAAAGGTTAAATTTATTAGATTTTTTTTCCTGAGGGAGTTTATTACATTATAGATACTATGAAAAAGGTTTGGAAACAAAAGTTGGCAAAACTGGTATTTGTTTCTCCTGGTGTGGCATAAAAAGGAAATATAAAGCTTGGTTTTGAAGAACTACAGAGGCTTCTTCAATTATTGAAGGAGTAGAAAATAACTCAAAGTAGTAGAAAGAACTTAGGTGAAATAGAGTGATCCTTTGGCATTATATCATATAAATAATTCACAATGGCTTAAAATAAAGGAGAGGTAGAAATAGGCAGGAGTTTGGAGGTAAAGTTCCTGCATACTAAACCGAGACTTCAGGACAACACATTCTTAAATCTGTAATGACAAATCAAAGTTGTGCTACTATTTAGTTAAAAAGCAAGAGTATTGCCAAGCATGATAAAATCCCCTTCGGGATCATACCTCAGGAAAGCTACAAATTGCTTTGGAAAATAGCTCTCCATATTTGGGAGTTTGAGGCTCCAAATTGTTCTGCTGCTTATAAGTTTTACAGTTAAAAGCTGGTTGAGGTTTAGAAAGAGCTGGTTGAGGTTTAGAAAGCTTTGGTGAAGAGAAAAGGATACTAAGTGTACCATAAATACTACATATTCTGTATTATTAGAGGAAATGCCTTTTGACTGAAAAAAGGATGCAATCAATCCTCTTATGTTCAATTATAATTTTTTAAAAATACTTTTTAGTTATACATGGATACAATATCTTTATATTTTTATGTGGTGCTGGGGATCAAACCCAGTGCATCACACTTGTAAGGCAAGCACTCTGCCACTGAGCCACAACCCCAGCCCCATCAATTATAATTATTATAGCATC